GGGGGGGGGGGGGGGGGGGGGGGGGGGGGGGGGCCCTTCGGTTTCTTTCCTGGTTCTTAGCTTACATCTCAGACTGGCAAGGTCTAGAATGAAGTCAGGATGGGTCGTACATTGCTCTACTTAGCAAAGACAGTTTGTAAGCCATCACAGCACTGGTTCTTTTTCAGTGCCTTACCTCTGGTCATCAGCTCCATTTTGGTTGCTGTTCAGGACAATTCTCCAAAGGTCTGAGGCTACCAATTTTTTCTGATCATTCACAAGGTTGATGTCAGGCAACTGCAGTTCATAAACCTTACTTTCAGAAAGACTGAATTCTCTAAAAGCAACAAAAGTTTTCTGGAGTTCATCCCAGTATTCCAAACTACAAGGAACCTAAATTAAGATTGAAAAAAAAAAAGCGTTAGAAATTAAATTCAAATACCCAGGCATTTATTCAATACCTTCTAAAGGTACTCTGAGGAAAACATGGTCTCTTCCCTCAAACAGGTTACAGTTTAGTATGAAAGATAAGATGTGCATAAATAATGACACCAAAATAGGATATAGCATGTAAAAATGGTGGTTAAGAATTTAGAGGAAGGAGAGGTTATCTCAGGCTATCACTAAATAAATCATGAATAAATATTAAATGCCTTCTATGTGCTAGGCACTATACTAAGCACTGAGGATACAAAGAAAGGCAAAAGTTAGTCCCTACAGAGAAGAAAGTCTGAAGGAGATAAAGGGGGGTGACAGTGTCAAAGACTACAGAGAAGTCAAGAAGAATAACTGAGAAAGCCATTAGCTTTGGTAACTGAGAGATTATTAACTTTGAATGATGAGGTTGGAAGCCAGACTATAGAAAGTTAAGAAGAGTCGAAGCATTTTGATTCTAGAAGGCTTTTTTAAGAAGTTGAGCCACAAAAGGGAGGAGAGAATATTGGACAATACCTAATGAGAATGTTTGCATAGAATGATGGTTTTTTGAGGATGGGAAGGACTTGGGCATATTTGCAGGTAGTAGGGAAGTTGTGAGTAAACAAAGAGAGATCCAAGGTAAGTAAGAAAGCGAGGATGATAGAGGGGACAATCTGCTGGAGAAGATGGGATGGAATGGAATCACTTGCGCACATAGAAGAGTTAGCCTTGTCAAAGAGAAGGGCTATTTCATTACGTGAGACGTTGTGAAGAGGTAGGAGACTCAAGAAATAATGGCAGAAGCATATGGGTAATGTGAGATGAGGCGTAGCAGGTAAGAAGAGGGAGCTCTTGGAAAATGGCCTCAATTTCTTTTTCTTTTTTCTTTTCTTTTTTTTTTTTTGCAATTGGGGTTAAGTGACTTGCCCAGGGTCAGACAGCTAGTAAGTGTCCAAGTGTTTGGTCTGAGGCCAGATTTGAACTCAGGTCCTCCTGATTTCAGGGCCGGTGCTCTACCCACTGCACCACCTAGCTGCCCCTTCAATTATTTTTTTCAATAAAACATGAGGCAATGTTCTCAGCTGGGAGGATGGGGAAAAGGGAGCCATGGAAGGTGTGAAAAGGGAAGAAAAGATTGGGAAGAGGTGTTGTGGTGAGTGGGACAGAGTTCATTTGGAAGGTATAGAAGGATTGCCTAGGAGCATTAAAGGCTAAATCCAGGTTATGTAACATAACTTTGTAGTGGACCCAGCTGTCACAGTTTTATGATTTTTTTTCTGGCTTCATTAAGTAGCACGTGTGTAGGAGGGAAAGCAGTGAATAGTGGGAGTGATCCAAGCTGGAGGTTTGGCAGGGCAAGAAAGACAATATGATAAGTGTGCAAAGGGATCAAGAGAAGAGCAATCTTCTCAGGAATCAGGAAGTCTTCATGAGTTAGGTGGCATTAAGACTGCATTTTGAAGTGTGGGCAGGAATAGTAATAGCCACAGGTAGTAGAAAAGGTATTCAAGGTACAGAAAATAGGGGCAAAAGCATGGAGGCAGGAATTCATGGGCCCAATATGAGGAACATAAATTAGTCCAGATAGCAGTAGTACATGTAAAGGAAAGTAGTATGAGATAAAGCTAAAAATGGAGGCTACACATGAATTATAAAGGGACTTAATACCAAGCTAGGTACTTGGATTTTAGAAACTTTAGATACATACTACACTGATTAAAAGTGACCCAACTAAAGACACAGTCACAATTCTAAATAAGTAATTTCTAAGTATTGATGCTAGCACTTTACAAAAAACAACAAAAGTATTAACAGTTTGAAACTCTTGAGGAATATCATATCCCCCCCCACAAAGAACAATGCAATAATCCTATACTATATCTTCATTTCTGAAGCTTATTAACACAGTCCATATTTCTTAATTTAATTCAATATATATTTATTAAATATTTACTCTGTGCCTATTACTGAGAAATACAACAATTATATGATACCAGTCCTTGTTCTCAAGGATTTCATATTCTCATTGGGGAGAAAACTTACACGCATTAAATGGAAAACAAGCTAATATGACTGATTACATACAAAGATTCAAGGCACTGATACAGTCAGTATTATTGCCTGCTATGGAAGGTAAATCAGAGAGGTAGGACTAGATAAGCTGAGAGGAAAAGAGACCACATTCAGGCCAGAAAACAATACAAATAAAGGTACAGAGGTGGGAATGTTACCGTTTGTGCATAATGTCAATGTGTTGGCAATCAGGAAAAATTCAGGGTAAGCTAAGGCATGAGGCTGCAGTTAAGCAGTGAGGGCAGTGGGCATTCACGATACAAAAGTGGAGCAGGCAGGAAGAAGTTCAGCCAAAAAGAACATAGGAGATGTTGAAGAGAAGCTTCGTTGAGTTCACAATTAGGCCTACAGGCTGGCCCTTTGGCTATATGTTCATTTCGGAACATTCCAGACTACTCAGGAAATTTATAAAACAATAGAAAATGAATTACTGCAAAAATACATATAAAAATATGTGGGTTATGTGTTTGTCAGCATTTTTCTCTACACAACCTATTTTCCTTGGTCAATCAAGTGGCATGAGCAAATTCACTCCAAATGGAAACTTTGCTGAAAAACTTTGAAATGCTTGTTTTATTTGTGTGACTAGGAGTACTTACCCCAAATCCGTACATTTAATTTGTTCTTTTCATATATTTTTTTAAAAAGCCAACACCCTTATACTAAAAAAAAAAAATCAATGATTAAATTAAAGTACAAAGAAAACCTAGTAAATTACTTTTGGTTGGAATTTGGTATTTTAAAGATCCTTTACAATGAAACAGTTGCAAATTTGCTAGGAATATATGCACACATATGATTCACTGGTTCCATCAACTCTCCATCTCAAAAATATTCTCTTTCTTGGGGCACCTAGGTGGCACAGTGGATAGAGCACCGGCCTTGGATTCAGGAGCACCTGGGTTCAAATCCAGCCTCAGACACATAACACTTACTAGCTGTGTGACCGTGGGCAAGTCACTTAACCCCACTGCCTATCCTAAAAGCAGGAGAGAAGTGGCAGTAGGGGAATCTAGAAGATGGTTCCAAGTCCAAAGAAAAAGACTCCACAAAGCAGAGAGGGAAATATAGGGGTGAGGCAGGAAAGCAAAGTTAGATTTCATAAACCAAGGAACTACAAGCTGAAAGTGAAACTAGAAGAGACACAACAGGAGAGGCAGCTGGCATATAGCGGAAGATTAACTTTACTTAGGGATCAGCATGAGGTAGTGTCATGTGACGGCCAAGAGCCTACTCTGTTGTTGAGTTGTTCTTCAGTCATGAGTTTTGGGGTTTTCCTAGCAAAGATACTGGAGTGGTTTGCCATTTCCTTCTCCAGTTCATTTTACAGATGAGGAAACTGAGGCAAACAGGGTGAAGTGACTTGCCCAGGGTCACAAAGCTAGTATCTGAGGGTGGATTTGAACTCAAGTCTTCCTCACTCCAAAGCCAGGTGCTCTATCCACTGTGCCACATGGCTTCCCCTGAGGACCTACTAGTCATCCTCCAAATGCTTAGCTGAAGGAAATACAGCTGTAGACTCTGACAGTTTTCCATTAAATGTTGACATTACCCAACTAATCTCAGTTTTAGGTGCAACATACTGAAACTACATATTGAGCACTCTAATGTTATCTTTATAGCTCCATATGTTAGAATTCTCTTAAGAACTCCAAGATCTACTTTATGTGCTCTTTTAAAAAGAATTCTATCATATACTTTTATGTTTGGAATTGGTTATTTAGTATAGAATGTTCTATGTTTAAAAATCTATAGTTATTCTTCCTAAAGGATTTATTATTAATTCCTGCACTAAATAACTGTGAGGAAAGATAGTAGCTTTGGTTGCCAAGAGGTAGTTTGGAAATGTTAGGTATCCAGAATGGAACAAGTAAATTGATTTCACTGGAAAATATTCCACATATAACACATGGTACATTTCAAATGACTGTCAAGAATACGTATATCTTTATTACATTTTGTTTTCCCATCCATTATTTGACATAATTTTTAAAAATATCAGTCAGCCATATAAAATGAACCGTACCCTAAGTATATGTGAACTTTGAACTGAACACATTTTAGTCTGTGTAAGAACACATCTATAACCACATTTAAAATGTTATTTCATAATGTGTTTCCATTCAACAGCTAAAATAGGAAGATTTGCAGATGTACAGTGCCATTTAAAAACAGAACTTATTATTTAGTAGCATTAAAAAACTAATGCTAGAATTGTGCTGCCCATCCCTCTTCATCGACAGCTTTATGTTCTCTGGTGGGAAACGGTACACACACATGGGAGCTATTACTATCACCAACAACTTTCCAAGGACAAATTCTGACACGTCCTCAGTTTATTGACCACCCTTGTTCTTAAGTACTCTGACTATTAAAAATTTTTAAACTGCATTTATCCAATCCCTTTACACCCACCCCAAATCATGGGTTGACTGGGTTGGCCGGAGATAAAGACAGAGGGTAGTATTTTGGAATATGGGTATTTTGTCCATGAACTAAATAGGTATTCAGAGTAGATACTAACTACTGGAGTCACAGGAATCAAATCAAATGGGCTTTAGTGTTTGCATAGTTGGAAACAAATATTAGTTATGCTGGTTTCATCCAAATAAAATATTTATTTCTGGGCAAGACATCACAAGATGCCATAGCCACCTCTCACTTAGACTATTACAATAGTTTTCTAGTTGATAAGCTTTTTCCATATGGGGTGTGGGCCTCCAAAACATTCCCAGCTATCTTCTGCCTATGGCTCTGCTCTCTTACCTTCTCTATCCCACCTTGAAACTTGGATTTCACCCTGTGCCTGACAAATGAGCTTTCAACTTATCTCTCTTGGAAGCAGGCCCAGCTGTCTCTTCACTTTAATACTCTGTCCCCTACCCTCATTTACCTTGCCTGTT